GCTTCTCCAGATGAGTCCTTGAGCACAGTAGTGGCGATATCACTGCAGCCACAATAGTCCAAGAAAAGATTTCTAAGGAGACATTTTTCTTGAGACAAACTGGTAGAGTAGGAAAGATGGGAAACAAAGTTCTTCTGCTCTGTTGAAAATACATTTGAGCATTTCTATGTATTGAGATTGACAGTTTTTACACAATGCTTCTCCGAGTATTGTTAACTACTATCCTGGTTATGCAGAAGTAGCCATTAGCATGTAAGTCCTGCATTAGTGTTCATATAAGCATGTTCTTCACTGTAAAAAGGGTGGTGTGAGGGATTCATATTTGTTGTGCCTGAGTGACTTGAATGACATTTTCTCAGTTTAGAAGCATCTCCACTTGCAGACTCAGCTTGAGATCTGAAACTCAAGCTGTGCATTTTCTGGCTCATACAGCTTTTCTATTAAAACTTCATTACATCAAATTCTGCTCACAATTAAATCTTTGCAAATAAATTGTCCTCTGAGTTTGTAAATAGTTGAGGAGGCAACATTTGGTCCTGGAATTGGGAAACGTTTAACAAAACTTTCGGTGATATACGAGCCAGAACAGAAATCAGCTTTTTCTCTTATACCTTTGTCAACACTAAGAAGAGAAAGAAGGAAGTGTAAAAATTTATTTTACGACTAAATACATAAGATAAATATACAGACAGGGAATAGATCAATTGAGTGAAAGGGTGCATTTTTTTGGCAGCTGCTTTTCGGAATAAAGACATTTTAAGAAAGACACAGGTGTGTGTTGGACTAAAGAATTTTCTTTTATATATGAAGGTGAGTCAGACTGTCTTGAGATTTCATTTGCTTAACTGACAGGCAGAAAATAGGATTCTGACTAGTACTGCAGCTCCTCTAGCATCATATGGGAATTGAAATAGAAAGTAATAATGAACTGTAATGTTAATCACTCCTTTATTAGAGCAGGGACTGAGGATCAAGGGGTCTAAGTTCTTTCCCTGGGTCTTTCATCAGATCCTTTGCTGATCTGAAAAATGTTAACTTGAATATTGGTTTGATGTTTGTGGATTGGTATTGCTTGGTCCTGACCCATGGTCTCAGGGCCAGGCATTTTCAGCTTCCAGGCTAGCAGCCCAGCATAACCAGCAAAACTGGCACAAGTGCCCATACACAAGCAGGGCACAGTGCCAAGACATAAGATTACTGGATAGAAAGTGTCGTTTCAAAGTACCTCCTGATGTCTGAGAAAAACGTCAGTCTCAGCCTGTCCCAACATTTTTTTCATATGGCAGCATTTCTGCTTCCTCAAGGAATGTTTTCTAGATCAAATGTGATAGCCATGATAAATTGCTGTACTGTGCATGGCACATCTTCTGGATCGTAAAGAAGGTCTAATCTTGTTAGAAATGACTATATTCTGCTGGGATTATAGGAACTGCAAGATGACCCACATCACAGTGGTGAGCACCAGCAGACTGAGAAAGTTTCCCTTCTATTACTGTTGTTTTCTGAGGCTGCAGCAGCAGACACTGAACATCATGCCGGCTTTCAGAACAGCTCAGCCAAGCGCAAGTCCTAGCATTATTCATCCCTAGCACTGACAGGTAAGTCGGATATCCGGTGCCTGTGCTGATCTATCCAGTATTGCAGTATTGTGGCTCCTAGAAAGCTGAGTGTGTTGGTATTACCCACTGCAAAATATGTTGGTTCATTGATTTTTTCAAACTTGTGCAATGCTTAGGCTGCCCCACATGATAATAAGATTTATAATGAATAGCAAGAAAACAAACGCATTTCAGAGAGTCAACATAGTTCTTTGGGCACTCAGCACTTACATTTTTTTTACTTATTCAGGCCTGTAGATTGGACCTTAAAATGCTCTCCAGGCATGATTTGAGCTCCAGGATCAGAGCTCAGAGGATGCTCATGTTTTGATCCTGTTTCAGCTCACTTGCAATCATGTCAGCCACCTGCCTTCCTTGAGTGTCTGTTAACCCAGCTGGACTTTTTTTGTGTTTTTTTTTTTTTTTTAAACTGCAGGTTTCAATGCAAACCAGATGTTCTATCTGATCCAAACTTTCCTGGGTAAATAAACGCTCACTTTGTTCCGTCCACTTAGTTGTAATATACCAAACCATCTCTAATAGAAATGCTTTCACAGGCCATTTAATGAAAATAAGGTCTCAGTTCTCCTAGAGAGACGCTGATCCTGTGTAATAATGCAGGAAATAGTGGCAAGAGTCACTGTGCCTTGGGCAGTGCCTGTCCTTCCTCTGAGCTGTGGTGAGGTGTTAGATGAGAAAAGAGCTCAGCAGAGATCATGAAAGCCAGAAAAAAGCCCTGGGTGGACTCTGTAGCCCACACTTCAGTGTAAGCATGAGGAACATGGGAGGAGATCATGTGTAGAGATGTTTGGAAGAGAATATGAAAAATGTGGATCAACCATGCAAAAAAGTAGTGCAGCAAGAGAAGCAAGCATTAACAATATTTGGAGACAAAATGTGCTGAAGAACAGCATTTTCCTACCTTGTTGACAGTTCACCCTTTCCCCCACCTCAGGCAGGGAAGCCAGATGTCCCTGAAAACCAATTCATTAAATTGATGTAACAAAAGGCAATTATCAGTGGCAACATTTGGTACTGTTCTTGGTTGTGTTCATATTACAGACACCCTGCCCCATGGCAGCATGGGGATTGCTGAGATCGCAGAGGCAACTGGTCAGGTGAAGCAGTAAATGCAGGGTCCCCACAACACAGTTCACTAAATTATATGTTCATGTGAATATACCTTCATCTTTTGTCCCTTCAACTCTCACAGCAAGGGGTGATGACACTTCTGGCTAAGAAGCACGAATCAGGAATTTAACAAAACAGTACTGGGGTAACTGGGGGCTGTCTCTCTCGTCTTTGACTAGCAGACATGCTTGGGATGGCTTCATCAGCATCCAGTCAAAATTATTTGGATATGAATAAACAAATGCTCATTATTTTAGGAAGAATGTGACAGTCCTTTGTGGGAAAAAAAAAGGAATTATTCCAGTTCCTCTCTGCTAAGGAGACACTGTGTCCTTTATGGCCAGCCATACCTGGCGTTAATCCTCTTTAGCTTGAGAGAGATCTGACCATGGAATTTTTTTAGTAGACCTGTGAAAATATTTTTTATTCCCTTAGACTTCCAACATAAACAGATTCTGCTTAACCATGCTTATATCACTTCATGCTACTCAGAACTGAGAATCTTAGGAAAGGACAGCAGGCTTTTCTAGGCATCAAATTAAAATCATTTTATATTAAAAAAAGAAAGGATGAGGATGTATACCTTTCACTGTATTTAAAGTGTAGCTGACTACAGTACATTTGCTCATGCTGGTACCTTTTTTATTGTCAATATTTACAAAGGCTTATTAGGAAGTTTTGCAGTCAAACACAGACCATCTCCAAGAGTCCCCAGAATTGCTCCAGTGGGGTGTGAGATGCAATGCACTACCTGAGCTCTGTAAGTGGTGGACAGCAAGACTGTCTGTGAAGGCAGAGCATTGCTGGCTCTTTGTGGCCAGTATCTGGCTCCTGAGAGAGACAGAGGCTCCCTGGGCACAGTTTAGCTGTACCCTGAGCTCATGGGAACTGGTGAGGGAATTGCCTCTGGTGAGGCAGCAGCTGTTATCCTGCAGCTCTTGTGGCAACAGCAGGAGACAGGATTTACATTTCAGAGCCCTACATGAACCTGACATGTACCAGAATCTTCACTGATGTTTGATCCAAGGAATGGAGAGTGGGATGACAGTCAGTTAGTTGATTACACATAATTTGGAGAGATAGTCAAGACCTAAGCTGCCTATGGTGGGACATAGGAAAACTTACAGTAGAGCATCTTGGCATGAACAAGGTGAGGGAGTAACAGAAAATAAGCCAAGCATAGGCTCTCAAGGCAGCAGTCTTGGAGGTACACAGGTGGTTGGGACCTCTTGGAACACTTAGGAATGGAAAAGAAAGCAGAGAACAGCTTTACATAGTTATAGCCATCATTGGAGGGAGATCTTCCCATCAAATCCCTAACTTCATCTATGCCCTCTGCCTCCAGTAGGATACAGTAATACAATAAAGTTCAGGGACCAGCAGTGAGAGAAGGCACAGCCTACACACACTGCTCTGAAGGTCTTGAGCCCTGCCATCTTTCTCCTGTCCTCCTGGGCAATCTGAGCACCCACTGTCCCCACTTACAGAACCGCTCTATTAAAATGGACATCTGCAAAATGCTGTGTGTTGAAAGCACATGAATTGATCTCCGTGCACAATATGCCTTAAGACAGGTAAAAATGAGTTTTCCCTTTCTGTAAAAGAAGGAAATGAAATGAAAATTGTTAATTGACTTGCTCGTGACCAAAGAGGGAGCCCATACTGGAGCTTGGAAGAGACTGGAAATGATGCATTTCCCAGGAAAGAGCCTATCTGAAGGATGCACACATCTTGTGAGGCTCTTCTAATCTGAGAAAGACAATCACAACTTCAGACAAAAAGGAAGAAGTGTTCAATGACATTTCTCTTAGTACTGAGAGCTCAAACCTCTTCAGGTTTTTTGAAAAATATGTGGACTTGATAAAGACAAAGGGAGCTCTGCGTCCAACAGAACACAAAATTCAGCCTCAGAGACCCCCCAAAAGGCCATGAGCTAAATCTGGTCTTGAGGGGAAACAATGCCACACTTTTAATCTAAGGTTTTTTCTTTTACCAGATCTCATACTGCTGGTTTAAAGTTGATAAATTGAAGATTAGAACATATACAGAGTTTTCAATAAATCATTCAGTCACGGTGTATTGAAGGATTTTTTTTTAAAGAGAGAATTAAATGCATTTTTAGAAAATATGTAACTTCTTAGAGCTACTCTGGAGTTGGAACAAAACAAGTTTTTTTATTTAAATTGTAATTTTTATGGATGCATTAGACTTGGAGCCAGAAAAAACATTTTTAACTGCTGAGATTTTACAGCCACTCTAGGGTTAGGAAAGAAAGCTGAAAAAATATTCTGCCTGGCAGATTTTTTAATGCTTCATTTAAAAATAAAATAATAAATAAAAAGTATGGTAACCCTTCCACCATCCCTAACCACTTCATCCAAGTGAAAGAGATGCCGTCCATTTCATCCCTTCCTGCCACAATGAGCCCAAATTCAGGACAACTTGTCTCGTGTGAAAACTGGTCTAGAACAGTGGTTAGCCTCTTTGTTTTACTGTAAGCCTCAGTTTCTTGTGTGTAAAATGGAGAAAAAAATGTTCTTTCTTCTGCTGATTTGCTTAGGTGTTTTGGGAGGCAAATAGGGGTATCCCTGTATCTTGTTTGTATAATGCCTTTTGAAGAGAAACCTTCTGAGATACCTGCTTTTGGACATTATTTGAGGGAATTAATGGAAGAATGAAAATCTCCTTCTGAAGGCTAAAATGTGATTGGTCATTTGCTTAATCAAGCAAATAAAAAGGGGTAATATCTTGATGTCTTAAGAGTAAACAGTCCTCCTCTCCGAGTAAAATTTTACACTGAAGAAAAGACCTAAAGAAAGTCCTAAGTAAACAGGATCTCCCAAATATCAACATGTTGGGAAAGCACTAGGCCTGACACAGTTCTTTGTGCATTGCTAAGAGAGAAACACATTCCGGACTCATGTATAACTGTGTCTCATGAGTCAGAGTTAAAAGAGGCTTTCCATGCACGTTTTTTTCATATTGAAATTCTTGCATGTGGAACCTTCAGAGCTGTGGGTGAAAGCATATCCTACTAATGAACATAACCTATATGAAAAGGTAGAAGAACAGGCATACCTTTTGTTTACGTGCACAAAGAGACTAATCTACTCAGATGAATAATGGTGTGCTGTTTTCCCTCACTTGTGCTGAAGTACTTGATTTTCACATGCAGTAAATCAGAAGTCTGGTATCTGCTCCTGCACTGTGCTCAATATAGGGTGGCTGAGGTTTGATTTCTGCATTAGAGCTCTTAGAGGCACTTTCTCCTGAACTGGGTGGTTTTGTCTGTAGCACAGGGTAAAAGGTTGTTCTCACAGTAAAATGTATAGCCCACAGAAGCAAAGAAAATAGGGCTGAAAAGGAGCAGAAAAATCTAAGCCATCTAATTCACTACCTTGCTTCCTGAGAAGATCAGTGTTTTCAAATTAACACCTCACCTGACTTTATCTGAAAATAAAAATAGTTACGCGCAAGGATGATTGTATTTTTCTCTCTCAGCTGTAAACCTTACTTCTGAGAAGTGGTACAGTCCATCAGCCCTCAGGATCTGAGGTCCACAGCAGGACATGAGGTAGTCCTTTCATCTGTCCATGTTTTTGTCTTGCACTTTCTATGCTGCAGAGAGTGCTGATCTCCTAGTCTTATCCTAGGTCTTATGTACATCATTCTTAATATTAATAATTAAGGTATGGTTTGTTTAATCCGTAGTCCTTAGTTTGGAACTATAGACCATATGCTGAATTCATAGTACAGCTTTCTGCAAAGTATCTGGAGACTTGGCTTGATGAGGTGCCAGACAACTTTGATGTGATGTTGCTAGATGTGTAGAAGTTGTCAGTCTGCACACATTTGCAAAGACAACACTTCTTCTCAGACATTCATTCATGAAATGAAAGTTTGCCATTTTGAAGGAAGAAAAAGAAAGTGAGGAAGCAATGGGCTATCATACACATTTTCATTCACATGCAACATTTTCTTTTGTTAATACTAAATGCGCCAGTGGAGTAAATTATTTGAGTTTCTCTTGCATGGTCAAAAATGCCTCATTGTTGCTACATGACTTAGCCTTCAAATTTAGACATTTAGAGGAAATTGAAAAACACTAACAACTGGAAAGATTTACTGAAAGACTGAAGACAACCAGAAAAATCAAAAGTGTGTGCTTTTAAAGCAGAATTTTTAGAGAAGGGTGAGATGATGTTTGTTGTGGGAGCACCAGAGAAAATGAGAGACCCATGGGTTTCACTTACAGTGTGACTGCTGCCTTGTGTTAAGACCTGCTGCAAATGCTGAACCCAGAATCTAGAGGAAATAGCAGTCTGGATCATGGGGGTGATGTATGTAGTTCTTAGGGGAAAAAAAAAAAAGAAAGTTTATAGGCAATAATACAGGAGAAAAGAAGAGAAACAGGACTCTAAAAGCAGCAGCAGCGGGGGGACAGGGGCAGTGTACTTTTAGGGCTACATATGAATGCTGTCTCCTTTGCGGTTTAAGTGCCAGAACTGCTCAGCTTTTCTTCATGGTTCTCACACCTATTCTGCTCATGAGACAACACTGTAATATCACCAGATGTAACCCAGATGGTACATATTAATTTATATATGGATGCTGGAAAATACATACATACTTTCCATTTGAAGTCTTTTAAGTATGATTTTTATATTCATTTGAAAATTGTTCATTTTTATTTGAGCCATAAGGCAGCCAAAATACAGCTCCCAGGTGAATGAACATTTATCTGTTCCACTCTGAATGATTCCAGGTTTCTGTAGTCTACTTTTGAAGGTGTGTGCTCATTTCAGAAATGATTCTCACTGGCTCAACAATGTGTTACTGTCAAACATCCATTATTATGCTGAATGGAAATGGTGGGGAGATAAATATAGAACATCTTTCATCTCATTTTCAATATTAACAACTGTTCCATAGGCTTGCTAGGAGACCCAAGTGTGTGACAAAGTAGAATGCCATGATTTAAACATTTAATTATTTTTCTGTGTCAAATTTGATTTAATAAGTAATGATAATTGGAGTCGGACATGATCTTTAGATAATCAAGCAATCGAGCCCACTCATTCTGCAGAGCAGGAAGAAGAAGTGGTGGTGGTGTTTGTCATAATAATCTATGCAACATAAAGTCTGGTATTTCCCCAGGGTTTTGAATCACTGAGAAAAGCTGATGAAAAAAGAAAATATACAACTAAAGGAAGAATATCAAAACAGCATCAAAGAATAAACTGTGCCTCTCTGTTGGTAGCACCCAGGTCCCTCCTTCCTTGCACCCTGTTTCTTTTCCTCTGCCTCCACCCCAAAACGGACACCATTTCTGAAATTGCATTTTCTAGTCTCAAAACTGGAATCCTAAGTGCTGTGTTTCTGCCACAGGTGGACCCTTTGTCCCAGATAGCAACAAGGAGTAAATAAGCAGTTAAAAATATCAGTAAGTAAATGCATTCATTTTTCAGCACTAACCCACAGAGCAGTCTGCTATTATTTCTGTTGTATAAAAGTGGGTATGCAGAAATGAAAGTAAAGCCAAAATGTGAGCTCTGTACACTTAAGACAACTGGAAAAGGTCTTTTCAGGCTACCTTTGCCATAATACTCATTATGCCACAAGACTGGAGAAAACCTTTCTGTGGGACAACCATATTTCCATCAACTTAGCAGTGGGGGTGGTGCAAGGGCACTGTGTCCCCAGACTGTTCAATGTGGGATGCTCATCCCACCTGCTCTCAACTTCTCCCACAAAGTCCTTCAAACTTCAGACCTAACCCCTTCCTTCCCACTGTCCATTCAAAGTTGCTTCATTCCTCCAGCTCCTCTCCCATTTTAGTAAGTCCATGCTTACTAAAACTGGCTGATTCTCTTTTCATAGCTAGTAGGTGAAAAAATCCATTCTTGTTTAAGACAATGTGAGACAAATAAGATGTATTAAAAAAATCAATGAGCTATGCATGTGGTTAACATGATTGCATCCGAATAAACAATGGATTGACAAATCACTCTTCTTACTTCAGGATGGAAAACACCACCTAGATCTTAGGCATAAACTTCTCTTATAAACATATTGTCCTGCTGTTATCTACCATAAAGACTGAAAAATATGCTGTTGGGTGCTATCAGAGAACTGTCACTGGGTTAGATGGGTTGTTAGTCTGATGAGACAGCAAAGTGCCTCTACTCCACCCCACCCATCCCCTGAGTAATCTCCTACAGAAATTACATTTAGCTACTTCCCATAAGTCCACTGCTATTTCCAGTTATTCTTTGAGTTCTTTCTGATCTGTGGCATTCACTATTTGCAGCATCCTTTCGGTAATGTCAAACTGCAGCCCAGTATTTCAGGTGTATTCACAAGCTACAGTCACATCTGGAGAAAGTACCAAGAGACTTCCCAGAAGTAGACAATTAATGACTATGAAGAGGACTGTAAGACATCCTGCTGTAGCAATGGCACACATTTGCCAGCAATCGTTGCCCAGTGCTTTGGAAACACTCTCATGTTATTCTGCTGCCTGTTAAATATCTTGGCATTTATCTCACAGCAGAGACCATTCGCCTGTGCCAGGGTTCTGTTCCATTGACAATGTCTCTTAATTGCCTTGTTTAAATAAACAAGACAAGATAATTAAGAGATAATGACAAAGAAATAGGATGTTAGTGATAATGGGTGGTAGATCCCTCTCCACTCTAACTTCTCTATCTAGAGCAACCCAGGCTCACAGCAACCTTCTGAGTTTTGAAAGGGGCCTTTTGTCCTTGCTGTTTGTCTGAATTAATCAGTAAAAGTGAAAAATTCTGGAGGAAAAATTCAGGACTGAGAATCTGAGAGTAATGGGTGAGGCAAAGATTTGGATATGTAGAAGGACGGACCCGCAGCACAAAGGAAAACAATTCTGCACGAAGGAAAACAATTCTGCACAAAGACCTGGCAGAAGGAACTGCCTGTCTGCTGGTTCGGTAGTCCTGGTAGTCCTGTATTTGCCAGCCTGACTCATTCTAATCCTGCTCCTGACCAAAGCTGTTTGGCCATGCAGCCTCTTTAAGAGATGGCCAGCAGAAATGCCTGCCTGCTGATGACAGCTACCTGTGCTGATATTGCACACATGCTTTTGGTGCTTCTGCTCATGCTTTACCTTGCTAGTCCCTCATGCTGAGGGCTAATCAGAAAGGATGCATTAATCCTTTGATCAAGGTATTGGGCAAAAATTAACTGACACAGGATATTCAGCTATTCAGAGCTAGGAACAGAGCAATTTTAAATTGTATTCATACACTTCTGACACTAATAAAATAGATTAGTGGTCCTTTCCGTAAATTATGGTGTTTCCTCAACTGGGGTGTCATGGTTTAAGCCCAGCCAGCAACCCAGAACCATGGAGCCGCTCGCTCACTCCCACCCCTTCTTCCCCCAGCTCCAGGAGGGATGGGGAGGAGAATCGAAAGAATGTAACTCCCACAGATTGAGATAAGAACAGTCCAGTAACTAACGTGCAGCACAAAACCACTACTGCTACCACCAATAATAATAATGGTAAGGGAAATAACAAGGGAAGAGAATACAACCATTCACCACCAGCTGACCGATACCCAGCCTAACTGAGCAGTGATCTAGCCCTTCCAGGTAACTGCCCCTACTGTATATAGTGGGCATGATGTGATGTGGTATGGAATACCTCTTTGGCTAGTTTGGGTGAGGTGTCCTGTCTCTGCTTCCTCCCAGCTTCCCCTCCTCTCTGGCAGAGCATGAGACTCAGAAAGTCCTTGGTCAGAGTAAACATTACTGAGCAACAACTAAAAACATTGGTGTTACCAGCGTTGTTCTCCTGCTGAAAGTCAAAACCACAGCACTGCACCAGCTACTAAGGAGAGAAATGACTGCTACTGCTGAACCCAGGACATGGGGCTAACAGTCAAAGGTACAAATCCCTAAAAAATTGATATGTAGAAGCCTGGGAGGTTTTTTTTCTGATTCAGCAATGAAGAGTGTAACATATGGATCTCGTTGTTCATCTGAGATTTTTGATTTATTTTGGTACTTATATATATATAGTTGACAATGACCAGTCCTGCATATGATAATGCCATTGTACATTTCATGGTATCAGAAAGGATTATTCTAACAGAAACACATAGCTAAAAGCCGAGTGAGTGTATGAAATGCTAAGCAAAGAGTGGTAGTGAAAGGAAAAAGAAGTTCCTTTGAACTTCTTTGAAGTTCCTGTTCTCTGTCCTGGCTTCCAGCTTGGCTATACACTTTGCTTCAAAGGCTACAGCAGTATCATAACAGATTTGTTTCCAATTGTCTCAGTTCAAACATCTTTCCTGCTGGTTATTGATATGGATCTGACAAGCTTCATGAGAGGTTTTCAGGACACTCTTAAAGCACTTGCGTTGGCCTCAAATTGTTCAAGACAGATGGATGTAAAAAATACGCTGAAGCCTTTGAACCTTATTTTGTATCTATCCTAGAACAGATTACACAGATTACCAAGAAAGTTTTAATATGGAAAATAAAAAATGAATTTTGGAGACAGGGATGCAATGTTTGCTGTACAGTCATGTCAGTGTATATTCCAAGTCAGGAGCAACAGCACAACAGGATTGAAGGACTGACTAAACAGTCTTGTCAGATACTCAGATACTGAAGATGAGAACAGAAACAGGCGGTAATCCTGCCGAGTGCTCTTCTCTTCCGTTATTGCATATTGCTTTACAGTTGTCCTGGGTTTAGCAGTAGCAGTCATTTTTCTCCTTCTTGGTAGCTGGTGCAGTGCTGTGTTTTGACTTTCGGCCTGGGCACAAAGCTGATAACACCAAGGTTTTGGTCTGGCCAAGGACTTTGTGAGCCTCATGTTCTGCCAGGGAAGAGGGGAAGGCGGGGGGGGGGGGGGGGGGGGGTGAGTGTGCAGAGACAGGACACCTGACCCAAACTGACCAAAGAGGTATTCCATACCACAGCACGTCATGTGCAGCAGGTAACTGGGAGTTACCCGGAAGGGCTGGGAGACTGTGGGGTTGGACTAGGTATGGGTCAGTGCTTGGTCGGGCTGGGTGGGGAGAGTTATCGGTCAGCTGGTGCTGAGGTGTTGTATTCTCTTCCCTTGTTATTTCCTTTATCATTGTTGTTATTGGTGGTAGCAGTGGTGATTTGTGTTGTACCTTGGTTGCTGGACTGTTCTTGTCTCAACCTGTGGGAGTTGCATTCTTTTCGGTTCTCCTCTCTGTCCCTCTGGGAGTGGGGGGGGGGGGAGGAAGAGGCAAGAAGGGTGGGAGTGAGTGAAAAAGCTGTCTGGCAGGGGTTAAACCACGACAACAGTCAACCAAAGGAAGGGTTAATTTTTTGAAATGAAGGAAATACGAGAAAAATTGCTTCTCATGTAGTGAGGGATCTACCAAGACACAGATGCTCATCAACAATTTCAGACCTGCTTCTGGCAACTGTGGCCAGGGCTTGTGTCAGGCTGGTCTGGAGCAGGTTGAAGAATGACTGGATTTTTATTATATTTCTAGCAAAATTGAAATACATGATTCTTCAGAAACATCAGAAAATTCTGTGGGTCTTTTGAACTTTGATTTTTTTATTGGCTGTTATTTTCAGGGTTACACACTAAGTACATTGGTTGATGAATAGGTAGATTTTATAAAGGCTGGGCTTGTGTTCGAGTCAAATTATACTGCAACTCAAGAAAGACTGAATTGTGTAATATTTCCACATAGCAAACTAAGAAGCTGGTTTATTGACATTGAGGAATTTGAACAAATCAGTGCAATTTAATGACAGAACAAAACTTGAAACTTACACCCTTAAGAGCCTAGGGAAAGATGCCGGTTGCATATAATGTTTAGATGTAAAGGATAATGATTATGATACATATTTCAGGCACTTTGGTCAAAGGAAATAAGGATACATGTCACATATATAATTATATGAGCTGGAAATAACAGGCAAAGAGCTTTTTACAGAAATACAGCATTACAGTGTGCTACAATGATGCCCACATCAGCACTGCTTTTGTGACGAAGACCCTGATAGACAAATGCTTCTGCTTCTGTGGGTTGTTTTTTGTGTGCTGTTTTGTTTGTTTTTTTTTGTAATAAGAATAGTATTTTTGTCATTTCATATTCATATATTTGATTCTGGTTTGCATTTTGAATTCATTTACAGGCAAAGACATGGGTTCATTTTATTCATGGGAATGGGAACTTGCTATGCCACTATTCCCCAGGAAATCTCCTGGAATAATAGAGGCATTGAGTTTTAAAATAAGTGTTGAGGATCTGATCAACTAACTGTGCCACTATTAGAAAGAAACAAAGAAAAGACAAATAAAATGAATTCTTATTTGCATCTGATTTACATTATCCTTGTGAGCACTGATTCCATTTTTATTTCATTCCTCTTAATACTATT